CAAAATAAATAAAAGCATTCAACACTTCAGCGACCAGTAAAAGTTACAGCAAGGTACAAAAATTGACAGACATTTTATTTTAGTGAATATTCGAAATTTGATTAAAGATCGTTTTAAGTGTAGTGAATGCTATAGCATCCACGCCAAGAAGTACGCTACTATTTACGCAATGATAATATGAAAATACCTCAATATTTGAATAAAAATTGAGTCATTTTATTTTTAAATTAGTTGTGATATCCGAAATTTGATTAAAAATCGTTTTTAAGGGTAGTCAGATCGATATATACGATGAATGCTATAGCATCCACGTCAAGAAATACGCTACTATTTTACGGAATGATAATACGACTATCTGAAATTTGATTAAACATTGTTTTTAAGGGTAGTCAATCGATATATACGATGAATGCTATAGCATCCACGTCAAGAAATACGCTACTATTTTACGCAATGATAACAAAAAAATATCTAAAGAATAATATAGTCCAGGTATAATATGTACAAAAACGTAAGATTATATAAAATCAAATTCAAAATAATTGGCTTTAAAATTTGAATGCTATAGCATTCCTGTCATTCATCATTATAATGAAAATGAATGGTATAGCATTCATGGCCGCAAACGTGTTAAGATGACAATTACATATGAGCATAAACAAAAATCATGTCAATTGTTGGAAAATACGATACAACATCAAATTCTTCAGAATAAAAATCTTTATTAACACAAAATATGTTCAAAAATCATTATCGGGTCATTTAGGGTCTAAAAGAAGACAAACCAGGATTTAACCACATATAGACATTTATTATTGTTACCTTTGCATGGTTCCGGTCAAATTTCAAGTAAATCCAAATTCTAGTCAAATTTTAGTACAACAAGACACTTTACAACAAATTTTCCAAAAATTGTTTTCCATTATATGAAAATAATTCAACATTATCTGAATAATTCTGAACTGATCAAGTCGATGTAAGAAGTGCAACTGCAAAGAATGAAAGGCCTTTGAATAACACACGTGCATTTACCGCTCAGGAAATCGTAAACATCATGTACCAGATATTACTGGCGCAGCCCGAGATCATGTAAACAAAACGTCTTTCATTAAAATCACATTTACCTATGGGCTATATGGAGCTGGAAATAATTCGGAGGAATTATTTTCATTCTGGATGAAAATAATTCAAACAGCAATCAGAAGTAAAAAATCAAGTAAAGAATCATATAATACTTTTTCCTCATTTATGGATTTTTTTAAAAGGTAACTCAGCAATAGTTGTCCGATCTCTATTAGACAAATCTGTTAGGTAAATCTCAATAGGTGTTCTATCTCTAATAATGAAAAGGTAATCAAAACGTCTTTAATTAATATCACATTTACCTATAAGCTGCTATATGCAGCTGATAACAATTGGATAAATTATTTTCATTTTGGATCGGGCCTACAGGAAAATACTATTGAAAATTCATTAGGTAATTACCTATAGTTACAATTACTATTTTAAGTATACCTAGTTGCGTTAGAGTAATATGATGTTAGACTATTTTAAAATTAATTTAATTTTGCACAAATTCGTCAAATATTGTATTAACTTTAGACACACAGCTTAACAGTTACAAGAGATACACAGAATAAATGCACTTTAATAAAAATTATAGCGACTTAATTCAAGTACTTTCAATGGCGCTTGTGAGATATATCGAGTTACTGTAGGGCTATATAATGTTAGAAAACATTATGAACCATTTAATTTTGCACAAATTTGTTATATATTGTATTAACTTTAGACATACAGCTTAAAAGTTGCAAGAGATACAACAAACAAATGCAAAAATCTGCTAACCATAAACCATTTACAATATAAAATGCAATAGCTAGTTTCTAAAAAGTTTTCTGGTTTTTATCCATTTTTTATCTAATTCAAGATTAGAAAATTTGTGATGATGTGCAATATCTTATTATTATCCTTAATTCTTGATTTTTTTATTTGCTTTTAAACAGCATTCAGAACTAAAGATTTTTATGATACTCATTTCCTCATTTGTGGCTATTTTAAGAAGGTAATCCAATAGTTGATCAATCTCTATAAGACTATCTTGTTAGTAAATTCCCAATAGTTGTCCTAATGTATAAATTACGGAAAAAAACATATTTTGGAAGCATATTTCAATCTTTATAACCGAAGAATCCAATAAAACTTCCTCCTCATTTATGGCTTTTTGATGAGGTAACTCTATAGTTGTCTGATGTCTATTGAACAATTCTCTTAAAAATCATGTCAATTGTAAGAAATTCTCAATAATTCTTCTTTTTCTTATAATCAAAACATATCTTTAAATTAATGAATCAATTACGGGAAAAAAACATATTTTAGAAGCATATTTTAATCCATATAACTAAAGAATCCTATGATACTTCTTCCTCAATCATGGATTTTTATGTAAGGTTTCAAAATAATATTTAATATAAAAATAAAAAAATTTAACTTAGTAATTCAGTTTATATAATTCTTACAAATATTATACAATAGTCCATCATTTTAAATCCGACTGATTAAGTTTTATTCATTTACTTTTTTGTAAACATATGTAAACGTCGTCGTCCAATTTATAAACTCTTATATTTTGTCTATAAAATAAGAATAATGAAAGTTACTGTATTTATAATAATCTATTTGAAAACATATATAATAGACCTCAAATATTTCATTACTATACGGGAAGTTCTAGCAATTTGCCTTAAGGCACGATGCCATACTCGACTTTTTTTCAATTTGTGCTTCTTGAAAGGCGTATTGAAAAAATAGCAATAATATTCATAATTATTTAAACAAAAATTGCCAGTAATACTTAATACAATGAATTCAAGCTACTTGACTGTAATTTTTCAGCGGCACAGTGAAACATACATACAATCCTAGTAATAGTTTCTTTAGTAAAAATTCTGTCTGCGAGATGTAAACAAAAAGGGCGGGTGGTATGTTTGATGTCGGATATAAATAACGTGTCTAAAAAAAGTCATGTCCATAGCATCTTTCATTAGAAATTAAAACTTTGTTTACAATTGAAAGATAAGCAAAGCTTCAAGAAATTAGCCAATTTTGCAATCATAAAAGAGCTATACAGAAGCTTATTTGAGGTAAAGCCAAAGTCGACTATTCTGCTTTCTTTTTTTCCAAAAAGAGCATAAACTTTTGAATAATCTCCATGTAAGCTACATTTTGAAGAGATTTTTTAATTTTTTTTTATTTATTACATATAGACTGAAAACATATACTAACTGATCGATAATGCTTTGTGTAAAAACTTATATTAAGTTTTAAAATATTTGAAACCACATTGTAGAAATTGTGGCTACGCTAATTTCCTCGCAATAAAGATTTTACGACTAAATAGCTGCGTGGGCTGCCAATGTTGGTATTTTATTTGCATTTAAAACGTTTGAGTTCTCAAAACACATATCGTATAAGTAAATTTTCAATACAAAAAGTTCTATTTTTGTGACTCACGCAACATATGCGTGCGCAACAGTGAATAAGTTGGAAAACGTCAGAAAAATACAATTTTACATAACAGTAGTTGTTATGAATAATTCAATATATTCAGTTTTTGATAATATTTTTTATAGTTTATCTTCGAGCTCTTTATTATTTCTGCTGATATTAAACTGATAAAAATTTGAAATTAACTCGTTTAGGTATCAAGCAGTAGTGATATCCATTTTACACTTAAGAATATAGATTAAAATATGCTTCCAGAATATGTTTTCTGCCGTAATTGGAATTTCATTATTGGAGATAGGCATTCATTATTGGAGATAGGTATTTGGATCATTGAAATCGGATGCTCCGTTCTCTCAAATACTCGATTTATATTTTTCCGAAAAAATGGGCCTGCTTTGCCAAAAACTATTCAGCATATCTCCCTATCTATAGGAATCTAATGTTTTTAATCATTTAAATCGGATGCTTAGTTCTCCCAAAAACTGCCATTTTTAGCACATTTAGCTCGGTATCTCCGAAACAACTAGACCTGCCTTTGACAAAATCTAATCACCACTTTTCCCCACCTTTATGCATTAAATGTTATTAGGATCATTCAAATCGGATGCTTAGTTGTCTCAAAAACTGCTATTTTTTGCATATTTAGCTCTGTATCTTCAAAATGGCTGGACCTGCCGTTGCCAAAAACTAATCACCTCTTTTCCCAATCATTACAAATTGAATGTATTTTAGATCATTTAAATCGGATGCTCCTTTCGCTCAAAAACTCGATTTCGAACCGCCTGACCTACTTTTGCAAAAAACCAATCGGCACATTTCTCTACCTATGGGAAATTATTCAAATCGGTTGATCCGTGTTCGCAAAATTGTCGACGAAAATTTGTATCCGCACGCACACACACATCCGTTTGTTCTAAGGTATGCCAAAATATTCAGAAACCTTTGATACGTAAAGATATGCAAAAAATTTCATTTTTTTAGTGATTACTATAAATTACCCTACAGGAAGTTAATAAGTGATATATAAATATCGTAAAAACAAATTTAACTATGTTTTCGGTAGCCTGATAAAAATTTATTTCCGTTAACGTAAATTCGAAAACTATCGATAAGTATTATCGACTTCGTTTTATCGATAATATCACTCAGTTAACTTCTAAAATATATTCTATAAATGTTGTATCACATATAAATTTTCCATTTTTTATATTTTTCACTATACTAAAACTTCAAACATAAACATAAATTAAATATAAATTAAATTAAAAATATTTCAATAAAAAAATAATCAACATAACCTCAAAACTTACTGTTAGTTGTCACTTGCAAAATGTTTGACTTGTATATACGTGTTTGGTAAACCACACATAACTAAAACAGTATTTTATTAATTTTAGTTAAACCATAAACCGAAAATATTCACATTTCACTTTAAATTATAAATTATTTACCGTAATTTAACACTTTTTACTTTACCGCCTGCAAGTATCACAATGTGTCAAAAACATGTAATGAATCTTTTCAAACAAGCTATCGTAACATTCCCATATAGAAAATCCATATCTTCAGAAATCTTCAATAAAAACTTGGAAAAATTAAAATCACTAATGGATCAATTAACTAAAGAACATGTAAATTTGGATGAGAAACTTTTGCAAAGAAGTGACTTCAAAACTCCTTGCACATACATACAAATTTATGAGGACTTCAATATTAATATAAGTATATTCATAGTCCATCCAGGACATAAACTACCTCTCCACGACCACCCTCAAATGCACGGTCTACTAAAAGTTATTGCTGGTACATTTAAAATCCAAGCATATTCAGAAGACCACGAAGAAACATTAAAATTAAATGATAAGTCTGATAACGAAACAGAGCAACCTGAAGATTTTTCCGTAAAAAAAGTAGTTGCAAAAAAACTAGACGTCCTACTATGCGATGAAAATTCTGAGTGCTGTATCTTAACCCCGGGCGATGGTAATTACCATGAAATCGAACCGGTAAATGGTTCAGCAGCATTTTTAGATATCCTATCACCTCCCTACGATGCTTTTATTGAAGAATTTGGACAAAGAGACTGTACGTATTATAAAGAAGAAAGTGAAATTAAGCCCAATTTGGTGCAATTGACTCAAATAAGACAACCGGCATGGTTTTGGTGCGATACTGCTCAATATTCAGGTCCACTTTTATCGCTTACGGAAGAAAATACAATATCCCAATGAAAGTATATTATGTCAATTTGAACATAGGGTTTTTTTTGTTGTTCGATATACATAATTTGTACATAATTTTATTATATATGCATGTAATAAATCTTTTGTGATATTATATTTATTTTGAATATATTGGAAAATGCATTATTTAATTTGTTTAACTTTAAAGTAATTTAAATGTGAAATGGCTGTCTCATTTTTAACCATAGAATTAATATGTATATTTTGAACATAAAAATCAGTTCATATTTGTATGAAACATAATATTGCACATTTAAATTACTAATATGTATATATTTTTTGTATGTGTTCAAAATTGTTAATTCACTTTAAATAATAATCTAATTTGTAGAAATATTATTTTCTTTTACCTCACTAATTGTTATTATTCTTGTATTTAAAAAATTATATTAAATTCAATGTAATTGATGTATATTAAACAATAAAAAAGTGTAATTTTGACTAGCACTTTCTATAACAAATTTTGAACACATAATAGTAAATTAATTAATATATTACTTTGATATTTATTTGTTATTCTCTCCTACCAGGTTCAAATTGAAACAAACACTTTCTAACTTTATAATAGAATGTTTCTAGATATATAACAAAATCAATATTACTTATAACTATGGCAAGAAAATATTGTCACATTTCTTTTGGTAATTATATAACATTTTTAATCCAACCAAACCAAAATCAGCAAAAAAGTATTTCTGTCTCTTTCATTCGCCTTAAAGCTATGTGAGTGCGAAAGGGACAATAATATACTTAAAATAAATTTAGTATTAAACACAAGTATTCAATATTTTCTTCCAAATAAATTCGAAATTAACATGACGTAGTAAAGAATATTAATAGCAATAAATCTAATCTAATTTGGCCAATAAATCATTCTAAAATATATCTTAAATATAAATTTCATTACTTAAATACTATTAATAAATAATAGATTCATCCACAACAAAGTTGTAGAATATAAACCTTCATAGATAAATTTTAAAAAATTATTAAATATAAAAATAAATCAAGTTTGTGGTCTTATTTTTCCCTCAAACCGGTTTCAAATTTCTTTTTCAAATGTGATGCAATAATAACAAAGTAATAAAAATGGTCAAAATCTTGTAACTATTTTCTTTGCCACGTATCAAAAGTATATCAAATTGATATGGAAAATATAAATTTCAAGTTTACTTGAAATCACAATATTAGTAATATAAAGTGTACTATAATTTTATTTAGGCAGTGTTAGTTTTGAATGCAATAGAATGCATTATATTACGTTTAATTTTCTAAAAATCTTAATATATCAATCTAATAAAGTTTATCGCAAAGCATTTATAAAACTTGTTTATATTGAATCTATAACATAAAAATTGAGACTAAAAAATTTAGCAAGAGACTTAAACAGTCTTAACAAATATTTAACTATATTTCCATATATTGCTTTTTGTCATAATACTTTTATTTTCAATCAGTTTTAAATAAAGACTTTTGATGAAAAAATAAACAGAACATATTGTTTTTGCTATAAATATAAAATACTTTTATAATTTTTAATACTAGAGCATTGGATATATAAAAATAAATTAAGCGAATTAATATGTTAAATAATTCACTTCACAATTATTATTGAATATTAAAAAGGCATCATTTTAAGACAAGATAATGAATATTAAATTGTAATACCATAAACCAACTATTTCTAGAAGCATATTGGAATTAAAGATTCCTGTAAAAATTATTATAAAGGTGCAATTAAAAAAATGTGTACGACATCTATCTAAGCTCATTTACTTATTAATTAAATCACATGAAGCAAAAAAGTATAAAAACCCCATTTTCCAGAAAAAATATTTATGGCTAAAAATATCAGTCAATACTATTCGTATTAAACTATAAATGCAATTGACGTCATGATTTCGGTATAAAAGATATTCTATAAAAAAATACTTCTTATAAAGCTTCTAATCGAAAAAATATGTAAAAAATATTATAAAATCTACTGTAAGGATTTTACAAATTACTAAGGTATCAAAATTATTATACATAAAAAACGTCCGTTCATTATAATATTCCTATTTCCGATAAAATATTGAATATTAAAAAAAATCGTCAGTTACGTTTTATGGAAAAGGCTAATTCTAGATGCCTGAGATATGAAATATGCACTAACTTTAAGTTTCTATAATAAATGCAGTACAGAATTTTAAAACTCACTACCAAATTTAGTATGCAGAATTATGTTTGGGTTCCTCTCCAACACCTCCGGCTAACCGGTAAACTGCTCTTGCCACATCGGAAGCTAATGAATCTGCTTCCTGATATGACATATTAAAAAATAAATATTAAGAATAAACCTAATTAAATTTAACTAATGTGTTAATATGATTGAAATTATTGCTTTGATCATAAATCTGGGTTTGGAAGTAGAAATTTAAACCTGAAAAAATTGTAAATTAAATCAATTATTACTTTGTTATTTACCTCTCTAGTAGCTGCCTCTGCATACACACGGACAATGTCTTCTGTACCAGATGGTCTCACAAATGCTCTGCCGTCTTGATATTTGTTAACAAGGTTCTTAATTTCGTCCTGGAGACCCTCTGGAGTGACACAAATTCGCTCGGCGTCTTTAGTTGTAATAACAGTTCGATCCTGTAATAGAATAATTGAATCATTTTCATTATTAAATGTAAGAAAAGCTATATTGAAAATTATGCTAGAATGTACTGAAATATAAATTTAATTCAATTTAATTAAATAAAAAATTAGGTAAAATTACATGATCAATGTGAAACGAATAACAAATACTCTTTTTAGATTTGCTTCATCATTTATAATTAAAAAATGAATAAAATTATATTTTCTTTAATTCAGCTTTCAAGATAAATCCATTAACAAGATTTCATATTAAATTTTCACTGCCAAATAGCTTTTTTAATTATAACAACCAATTATCAAGTACTTGTATTTTTATTATTACCTGTACAGTGACTTTTAGTTGTCTATTTGGGAGATCGGTGTAAGTACTCAGCCAATCGTTGAGATCCCATCCTCGGCTGTGTAAAACAGTTTCAACCAAAAGCATATCTGATATAGCATCACCAACAGTTTCGTTCGTAAGATCTATTAAACACATTAATTCCTTGGCTGCCTTTATTTGAGATTCCTCCAAACTGAAAAAAAAGAAAGAATAACATTTAAATAATATTATATTATAACATTTGAATAATATTAAATGTACTATCAAAATACATTAATAGAAAAAACTTTTAAATAGTTATTATTAGATAATTTATGATATGAGCCTTAGCTTTAAGTTGATTATAGAATTTGCCATTAGTTATAAATAAATATGAAAATTATAATTCAAATATTACCTTGTGTCCATAGAAGCATACTTCAATTTTAATTTTGCATCATTTGAAAACAATACAGTGCCATGTCCGTTTGCCTCAAAATAGACACCGATATCAAAATCTTGAGCTCTATGATGCAAGTGTTTAACACCAGTTGGAACGCATGCCACAGATACCTTTAACTCATCTGTTATATAGCGTGTTGATGCTCCATTTGCATAAGCTGTCTGTACCAAGCCAAATCCAATATCCATACCTAAAATAAATAGTTAAAACTTTATTAGATATAAATTGCACATAGTGATTGTTCATGAAAAAGTATAATTAACCTGTAGCTTTAACTTTTTCCATTAAGAACCCAGCAAGAAGTGTCGCTATTCTATCACCGTCTAACAAATGAAAAACATTATTATCATCAACAAAGTGATATACAATCCGATCGGCATCTCCATCAACAGACACACATCGAACATTCTTTTCAACTGGCATTCCTTGGGGTGAGCATTGTTGTACTTTCACAAAATCAGCCCCACACTATAAGAAAAATTGAGTATTATTAATCTTATAGCTATTTCTTGCTAAAATTCTAATTTTATACCTTATGATTTAATTTTCCTTTGCCGTTGTTATATATATCAACATCTATACTTTCACCCAGTCTTTTTTGAAATTGAACCATTTTTTTGCCACCAACTCCATTTGCACCATCAAAGAAAAATTTTGGAGTATACTTTCCATTGAATGTAACATCGCCACGAAGGGTTTTGAAGGCAGTTATCAATTTGGTATAATAGCCTGAAATAAAAAAATGAATAAATAATAAAACCTTTTCATGTTACCTTTCTTTTAGACATTCTTCAGTTATTTTAATAACTCATAATAAATTAATACTCTATTTTAAAGTCAAAGCTGAAAATATTTTATGGTAAATTTTAAAGAAGTAGAAAATGTTATATTTTTGTTTATAGAAAACTAAAGAAAATAATCCTGAGATTATAATCATTAATATTCTATCAAGATTTTAGCAATAAGCTGTCTGTTTTAACCTTTATTATTGAAAATGAAATTATTACCTTCTTCAGTAGGTTTTCCATATGCTTGATCAGTGTTTGCACATAAAACAAAATAGTGAAGCATTGGAGTCGTAACAATACCAAATTCTCTGGGAGATCCACGAATAGATAATACTCCATCAACAGCAGCTTTGCAAAGACTGGGACTACTATACCTATTTATTCATAAAAATTATATATTAATAAATAATGTGCAACTAAAAATAATACCCAATGATTTACCTTGTATCCATACCAATAAACACATTAGCCTTCAAATTAAGATCGATATTCAAGTCTTTTACAATTTTTTCAACTGTAGCCTCTAACTCAGAATCACTAAAAATAAAAAGATAAATAATTGAGTTTCGAGTAATAATATTACTTTCATATTAGCAAGTCCTATTCACCTAACGTTAACTAAAGTGGTTGCTAACTCTTCCCAACTTTGTTCAAGCATCTCACCATGGGGGTCTACGAGTTTTATACCATTATCTTCTTCAGGATTATGTGATGCAGTTATCATTAATCCAATTACTGCTGTGCTTTTAACACGGGAACGAAGAGCTGCAAGAACCCCCATACGAAACATGACATAGTCCAAGTCTGTAGCTCTGTAAAAGGATTAATTCAGAAATATTTAATTAGAGAAAAAAGTTAGATATACAATTATACTATTTCATGAAGGATATTAAAATATATAATAAATATATATTTTAGTATTTAAGTATTAATATTAATATTCTGCATACTTGGTCCGAAATCCAGCTGTACCATATTGTATAGGTTTATTTATATTTTTGGAATGCATCTCTCGCGCAAAAGCGTATATGGTTTTTAAATTAACCGACATTATTGTTAATAAGTATTTTTAATTATGTTATCTTAATAACTAGCACTGGTAAAAACTCCAGACTCAGACTTTTTGTAAGGTTATAGGTTAACTGTCTGGAGAAATGTCAGATCTGTCATAATTTGACCCAACCCATTTTTTAAATGTTGGCACGTTGGTAATAATTTTTATTTTGTTGGTGGTTCTGAGTTAACGGATAAACAGTTCAAAATAAATATTTTTCAGAAAATTATAATACATTGAACATATTCGTTTTATAAATTTAAAATTTAATAAGTTTAAGATTTAAACGTTGTTTATTTATTGAATAACAGATGAATTTCTATCTCTATTAATATGTTTCAACACTCCAATAATATTAAATTATTGAAAACTTTTACATATGTAAAAAAAAATAAAACAACAATTTGGATTGACAACTTTTATTCCCATTTGATTTATGTATTCATAGATAAAAGAAAAGTATGTATCTTATTTAAATCCAAAATTTATTATTATTTTTTTGTCACTGAATATTTTTTGAAATAAAGATAAAAGAAAAGTATGTATTTTATTCAAACCTAAAATTTATCATATTTTTTTATCACTGAATATTTTTTAAAAGTGGTGTCATAGATAAATAAGCATGAGGTGGATACTGGTCGAAAAAATCTTTTTATTCGATCCATCATTATTATATTGTCTAAGATTTTTCTATTTGTTGTTTTGAACTGTCAAACTATCAAAATGTAATTTCAATCGCAGCAACTTTGAAATGATTTAATAAGTTATAAACATATTATTTTCTTATATTATTTTGTATTTTATGAAGCAAAATTTGCTATAATTCTTTTCTGCATTTCAAATTAATTTCTAAGTTGTTTATTTTTAACCTAACCTCAAAATCTATATTTAAGAATGAAGTGTTTTTCTAGTATAAAATATCTAATAACAGGTTCTAAGTTTAAATTAGATTTAATACGTGCCAATAATGTTTATAAAAAACCACAAGCTTTATTTAACATTTGTTCACGTTTTTTTTCAAACGAGATAAATCCAAGTATAACAAATGACGAAGAACAAATCCCTTCAAAACCTGTTAAAAAAAAGGAAAAGACACCAGAAAAATCTAAAACAAATGTATTAATACATTTAGAAAACGATGCTAACTTTCAAGAAATCAAAGATCAGATTCCTGAAAAACTATTCAAATACAGACGAGTAGCTCCCGAAGGTCTTTATTTAATTAATAAAGATACGGCTTATGATATTCTGTTTGCAATATTGCCGTACTTACAAACTTCATCTGCTGGAGAGAGTAGTTTAATTGAAGTTAATCCGGGATTAGGATTGCTCACTGATTTACTTCTGAATAACTGGTCACGAGAAATCACTTTATATGAACCTAATACACAATTTGTTAAAGCTTTAAATGTAATTGTTAAAGATGTTTGATTTATTTAAATTATATTATTGTAATACAAATTTGTCTTTATCTTTTAGGCCTTAAACGAAGTTCACAGAAATAGAATTAATCTCTATTATACAAGTTTTTATGATGTTTGGAAATTGTCTTATCAAGATAAACATACAAGTAGTAAAAAAGTAGCAGCACTATTAGGGGATTTACCCCAAATTCCTTGGGGAAAAGGTTAAGAAAAAAAAATCATTATCATAATATAAATATTTTAAAATATATTGGATTTATTCTTATATCATCAATAATTCCAAAAATTTCAAAAGTTATACAATTATTTTCTAATGATCGGACCAATGACTTAACAATATATATAAATGTATATATATATATATATATATATATATATATATATATATTGTAGAGTTTTGAACAAGAATCCAAAAGTAATAAAAAAACAAGAAAAGTTTTTAATAAACAATTTTTTTATTTATTTACTGTCGACGTTTCGGAACTAGGTACGTTCCATCTTCAGGACATCTGTCAAGAAACATGATCTTGATGAGATTTCAGCAAACAATATGTTTAAGAAAAGAAAATAGATTTTTCTTAAATAATAAATTATTTGAAAAACTAATAATGTACAGAAATGTGATATGATCAAAATGAAAATGATAAAAAATAAATGAGTGGATTATCTAACAGGTTATTAAAAATGATAACATTTTTAAAAGGTATAGAAAATTTTAAAAAAGGTTAATGACAAAATTGAATTAATTACCTGTATGTTTGAATTAATTAAATCAATTTTGTCATTAACCTTTTCTTAAAATTTTCCATAACTTTCAAAAAAAATTCTATCATTTTTAATATCCTATTCTGATAATCCACTCATTTATTTTTATCATATTCATTTTGATCATATTATCATATTTCTGTACATTATTATTTTTTTCAAATAATTTATTATTTAAGAAAAATCTATTTTCTTTTCTTAAAACATATTGTTTGCAGAAATCTCATCAAGATCATGTTTCTTGACAGATGTCCTGAAGATGGAACGTACCTAGTTCCGAAACGTCGACAGTAAATAAATAAATAAATAAAGAAATTGTTTATTAAAAACTTTTCTTGTTTTTTATTACTTTTGGATTCTTGTTCGAAACTCTACAAAATATACACAAATCCAAGATTCTACCATTCAACATATATATATATATATATATATATATATATAAATATAAATATATATAAAAATAAATATAAATATGACTTAACAATATTCTTTACTTAATCATTTAAAATACATGACTATTTGTACTAATTTGTTAATTTCTTTTTACAGATTTTTGTTCAACAATCATTGGTATCGCCCCCTCTAATAGTTTTTTAAATCATCTCATAACATCCTTAGTTTTTCAACACAGTCTAATGATGTGGGGACGACATCAATTTTTCCTTGTTATAACACCAAGACAATATATTGTAAGTAAAATTAAATTGATACCTCTTTTGTATATTTTAAAAATTATTTTTGTATATTTTTTCAGCATTATACTTGTAACGGAAACACCGGTTATATGTTTTACAGAGCTTCAAGCATCATGTTTCAAATATTATTTAAATTTAAATTTTTATGCAAAGTACCAAGAAAGTCATTCTTGCCATGGGTTCAGAGCGAAAAGAAAA